GCAAAGTTCTTAACCTGAAGCACTATTTCTGGGTTAGCGGAGTCTGTAACCTGAAGCGTATGTAACCTGAGGTATGACTGTATACGTTTTCCATAATTTTACAATTACCATCACTTATATATAATAATAATAATAATAATAATAATAATAATAATAATAATAATAATAATAATTTATGTGTACCCCACCCATCTGGCCACTCTGGGCGGCTTCCAACAAAAGATTAAAAATACATTAAAATGTCACACATTTAAAACTTCTCTGAACAGGGCTGCCTTCAGATGTCTTCTAAATGTCAGGTAGCTGTTGTTCTCTTTGACATCTGGTGGGAGGGCGTTCCACAGGGCGGGTGCCACTACTGAGAAGGCCCTCTGCCTGGTTCCTTGTAATCTCACTTCTCGCAAGGAGGGAACCGCCAGAAGGCCCTCAGTGCTGGACCTCAGCATCCGGGCAGAATGATGGGGGTGGAGACGCTCCTTTAGATATACTGGACTGAGGCCGTTTAGGGCTTTAAAGGTCAGCACCAACACTTTGAATTGTGCTCAGAAACGTACTGGGAGCCAATGTAGGTCTTTCAGGACCGGTGTTATGTGGTCTCAGCGGCCGCCCCCAGTCACCAGTCTATATTCTTTGACTTCCCCACACATCCCTCCATGGGTTCCTGTTGAGCTGCATCTCCTTAATTATCACCCCTCTTCTAGTGCTTTCTAACTGCTGCTCATATATCTAGCCCTACTTGGAAATAATCTGGTTACAGCGGAACCTCAGGTTGCGGACGTAATCCGTGACTGAGGCACGTCCGCAACCCGCAGCGTTCGCAAACAGAAGCGGTGCATCAGTGCAAGCGCGTGAACGGAAGTACCCGTTCCGGTACTTCCGGGTTTGCTGTGGTGTGCAACCCAAAAACACGTAACCAGAAGCAATCGTATCATGAGGTATGACTGTAATATATTTCTTTAAACATTCACCAAAGTATTCCCACTCCTCTCTTACATCCTGATTCCTTGTCTTTGCAGTCAACATTGCTAATTCTGAATATTCTATTAACTTGTTCCGCCATTCCTCTTTTGTAGGACATTTTTTTTGTCCTTCCACCTTTGAGCATAAATAATTGTGGCCGCTGCCTTTGCGTATAGGAAGACAGACCAAGTACTTTCTTAGATATTTCACTCTCTATAATATTCTCTGGGGTTTTTTGTGGTTGGTTTTTTTTTTTGAATGACAGCTTTAACATCCTTTTTACCTCTGAATACATCATCTCCCAATACTCTTTAGCTTTTTTACAGCCCCACCACATGTGTACGAATGTTCCCTCTGTCTCTTCGCCTTTCCAACATAGTTTAGTTCCTTTTTAATGAATTTGTCCAGTCCTCTTTTAAAGCCATCCCAGTTGGGGGCCGTTCCTGCCGCTTCTGGGAGGGAGTCCCATAGTTTAAGAAATATTACTTCTCCTTGGTGTCTTGTCAGTAGAAACTGACAGGGGGAGGAAGGCCTCTGGCTGCGCAGCAGAGAACACACTTCGCCTGCAGAAAGTCTCAGGTTCTGAGAGAGAGCTCAGTCGGTAGAGCATGAGAAGCTTATTCTCATGGCTGTGGGTTCGAGCCCCATGTTGTGCAAGATATTCCTGAACTGCAGGGGGTGGGACTAGATGGCCCTTGTGGTCCCCTCCAGCTCTATGAGTCTGTAATTCAATAGCTGTCCAGCTTTGTATAAGGCCTCCCACCCAGAGGAGTGAATGGCTGTCATTTGTCAGAGTGGACTGGAGGACATCAAGTGAACAGGGGGACTCATTGCCACTGGATGGGATCCGCCTTTCAGCTCTTTTGCTATCTCTTGCAGTGGAAGGACCCATCCCTCTCTCTCTCCCCCGCCCCCCGCCCCCCGATCTGCCCTGACTGTTGGCACAGTCTTTTCTCTGTGGGCAAATTTCCTCCATTTTTTTTTATCGCTAGCCTTTTCTTTGGTCAATAGTTTTGCCTCTTTCTTCTTTTTCTGTGGTATTATTGTCTGTAGAGACTTCCTTCATTTTTTAATAGGTTCTCATTTATCCCCCACCCCCCACCCCTCCTGGTATAAAGTGCTTGAAAACCTTTTCTTGTGTTTTCCTGCTTTCCCGGGTTTCTTCAGTAGTGAACTTTTGGTGTGTGTGCTTTCTCCTTGCGCTTTCTTAATCAGGCGTGGCTGTTTGGTGGTGGCCCCCGCGATACTTACCAAGTGCACTGCCGTTTTCCTCTCAGGGAATGTCCTTGAGGCTCTGCCCTCTGATCTTTTGGCAAAGGGGAAACATCTCAGAATCTCCTCGACAGCTCCCACCATACCTGTCAAGCGGGACCGTCGGCATTCAAACTGCATCCTCTAATTTTTCTGCCCTCGGTTTTGTCTGAGGGAACATTTTAAAGGTTTTCTCCCCTTCCTTATTTGCTCCTGCCTTTCAGGGTGTGTGCATGTGTGCTTGGAGGTGCAGTAAAGCACTAAAGTCTGCTGAGTTTCTGGAGTACAGGGGGGTTCAGAAAGGGGAATGGAATTTGTCTGACTCTTCGTGACCCCCTGGATCAGAGCACGCCAGGCACTCCTGTCTTCCACTGCCTCCCGCAGTTTGTTCAAACTCATGTTGGTAGCTTCGAGGACACTATCCAACCATCTCGTCCTCTGTCGTCCCCTTCTCCTTGTGCCCTCCATCTTTCCCAACATCAGGGTCTTTTCCATCAGGGTCTTGGAGCCTCAGCTTCAGGATCTGTCCTTCCAGTGAGCACTCAGGGCTGATTTTTTTCAGAATGGATACGTTTGATCTTCTTGCAGTCCATGGGACTCTCAAGAGTCTCCCCCAGCACCATCATTCAAAAGCATCCATTCTTCGGCGATCAGCCTTCTTTATGGTCCAGCTCTCACTTCCATACATCACTAACAGAACATTCCAAAAGAGGGCACAGCTGGCTGGAGAGAACCTGGAAGAGAAGCACTCCACACCATACCTCTCTTGCCACAGTGATCCATGCGACAGCTTGATTATTGTAACTCGCTCTGCACGGGGCTGCCCTTGAAGCTGACCCAGAAACCAGCGGGTGCAGAATGCCGTGGTGAGGCTCCTTACGAGGTCCTTGCCGTGGGATCACATTCACCCAGTGCTTTACCAGCTGCACTGGCTCCCAGTGGAGTACAGGGTCAGGTTTAAGGTGCTGGTTTTGACCTTTAAAGCCCTACGTGGCCTAGGACCCACGTACCTACGGGACCGCCTCTCCTGGTATGCCCCGCGGAGGACCTTAAGGTCCGCAAATGACAACATTTTGGAGGTCCCAAGGTGGTTAGATTGGTCTCAACTAGGGCCAGGGCCTTTTCAGTACTGGCCCCGACTTGGTGGAACGCTCTGTCACAAGAGACCAGGGCCCTGTGGGACTTGACATCTTTCCGCAGGGCCTGCAAGACAGAGCTGTTCCGCCTGGCCTTCGGTTTGGACTCAGTCTGACCCTTATGTTTCCCTCCCCTTACGGTTTTGATCCACAGGCTACTTTTAAAATGAGGTTGCATTTTAAATTGTATTTTAACCTGTATTTTAAATCAGTTTTACCCCCCTATTATGTTTTTATTGTAATTTTACTGGTGTTAGCCGCCCTGAGCCCGGCTCTGGCCGGGGAGGGCGGGGTATAAATAAAATTTATTATTTATTATTATTATAACATTTGCAGTCTGTTAATATTTGTAGTGCTCAAAGCATGACACCTTTACATCATTCCCTTCCACTGGGTTCGGTTGTTTCCTTCCTTCTGCCTCGTTCCTTTGTTGTCATGATAAGGGGAGACACCATAGCCCAGTGACTGAGCCATGCAGCCCTGCCAGACACCTTTCTGTGCTCACCAGAGGAGACAATACTGACCTAAAGCCTGTCCTGTGGAACTCCCTGCCTATAGATGCTCACCAGGAACCGTCCCTGCCTTCTTTCGAGTGTCCTCTAAAAACTGGGCCATCTGGCCAGGCCTTCGCAAGATGATTTCCCCCTTTAAACCAGCCAGCATCTACTGATGTTTCACGGATGTTTTGAATGAGGTTTTATAGATATTTAAAGAGTGGCCTTTCAAATTGCATGTCATATGTTGTAAGAGGCCTGGTGATATTTTAAGAAAGAGCGGGTTATACATTTTCAAATAATTGTAAATAAACAAATGGACAATTAGCCCAAACTGGTATAAGGCATCTTCTGTTACTCACTCGCTCTCAGTCTTCTGCACTAAAGTGCCTTCCTCCTATTCCCTTGTCGATTTTCTCCTCCTTACCAGAACACTGTCTGTCTGTCTGTCTTACCTTCCATTCCTTGTACCCTCCTTCTTTCAGCTGAGACAATAATAATAATAATAATAATAATAATAATAATAATAATAATAATAATAATAATAATAAATATTTATACACCGCCCTTCCCGGTTTGAAAACTGGGCTCAGTTTTTAACTGACAGCTCACAGCAAATACAGTGGTACCTCGGGTTAAGTACTTAATTCGTTCTGGAGGTCTGTTCTTAACCTGAAACTGTTCTTAACCTGAAGCACCACTTTAGCTAATGGGGCCTCCCACTGCTGCTGCGCTGCCAGAGCACAATTTCTGTTCTCATCCTGAAGCAAAGTTCTTATTGCTATTTCTGGGATAGCGGAGTCTGTAACCTGAAGCGTCTGTAACCTGAAGCGTATGTAACCTGAGGTACCACTGTATAAAAGACTGATTAAAATACAACTTAAAAACAACATAAAACAGCATAGAATACAACATAAAATGCAGCATCAAGATCAATAAAATTCTAAAATTCAGGGGTTATTTTTTTGGGGGGGGACACAAAAAACAAACAACAAAAACCCAGTCAGTAGACACGGAATGATCACCAGGGCTAACTGCCCAAGTTGGTCCTACTAGGGCCAGCAAGGAGACCAGGGAGACTCAAGCCTCAGGCCAGCCCCCCCTGTGGGGTCGTAATCCTGCAGCCCCCGCAACTCCATTTAAAAACCTCTCAATTGTTTTCTCCCCAATGCAGGGACCACGGAGCGCGTGTGTCTGGTTCAAGGCACAGCGGAAGCCCTCAACGCCGTCCACAACTTCATTGCCGAAAAGGTCCGGGAGATCCCCCAGTCTGTAGTGAAGCCGGAATCGGTCAATATCCTGCAGCCTCAGACAACTATGAATCCTGACCGAGCCAAGCAGGTGAGCGAGCGCGGGAGCAAATCGCTTGTTTGTTAGAGGGGTTGGGAGCTGGGAGCTTCAGGTAAAGAGACCCATGACCGTTAGGTCCAGTTGTGGCCGACTCTGGGGTTGCGGCGCTCATCTCGCTTTATTGGCCGAGGGAGCCGGCGTACAGCTTCCGGGTCATGTGGCCAGCATGACTGAGCCGCTTCTGGCGAACCAGAGCAGCGCACGGAAACGCCGTTTACCTTTCCGCCGGAGCGGTACCTATTTATCTACTTGCACTGGTGTGCTTTCAAACTGCTAGGTGGGCAGGAGCAGGGACCGAGCAACGGGAGCTCACCCTGTCGCGGGGATTCAAACCGCCGACCTTCTGATCGGCAAGCCCTAGGCTCTGTGGTTTAACCCACAGCACCACCTGTGTCCTTGGGAGCTTCAGAATGCCCCTTAAAAAATTATAAGGGAATCTCGGCTGGATTAGGCCAAAGGCCAGCTTGTTTCAGAGGCAGGGAACCTTAGTCCTGGGTGCCAAATGTGGCAGCCCCCTGGGATCACCTATCTGAGGGTTACCATAATTCACAAAGTGAAAATCCAGACAGAAAGTCATTGAACTTTTTTGGGCAGAGCTGTTGAGCTTTTTAGTTTAGTGATGGCTGAAGCTGACCAAATGAGCTATTTTTAAGGAAATTCATCGCAAATTTCAAGGAGTTTCAAGGAAATTCACTAGATTCCCTCTCCCCACACACCGCGCCAACTCTACTTCGCACCCCAAGTGTTTTTTGCCTGGCTGGAATGTGTCCTTCAACTCTGATAACATCCCTTGCTTGTCTGGATTAAGGAAAGAGAGTTGTTTGTGCGCAGAAATATATCTATCAATCATCAATCAATCAATCAATCAATCATCTATCTATCTATCTATCTATCCATCTATCTATAATCTATCCATCTATCATCTAGCTAGCTAGCTATCATTCTCTCTCTCTCTCTCTCTCTCTCTCTCTCTCTCTCATCTATATGTATCAATCATCTATCTATCATCTATCTATCTATCTATCATCTCTCTCTCTCTCTCTTTCTCTCTCTCATCTATATGTATCAATCATCTATCTATCATCTATCTATCTATCTATCATCTCTCTCTCTCTCTCTCTCTCTCTCTAATCTATATGTATCAATCATCTATCTATCTATCATCTAGCTAGGTATCTATCTATCTATCTATATCTATCTATCTATCTATCTATCTATCTATCTATCTATCATCTATCATCTCTCTCTCTCTCTCTCTCTCTCTCATCTATATGTATCTATCTATCTATCATCTATCTATTTATCTATCATCTATCTAGCTAGCTAGCTATCATCTATCATCTAGCTATCATCTCTCTCTCTCTCTCTCTAATCTACATCTATCTATCTATCATCTATCTATCTATCATCTATCTATCTATCTATCATCTATCTATCATCTATCTCTATCATCTCTATCTATCTATCTATCTATCTATCTATCTATCATCTATCATCTATCTATCTATCTATCTATATCTATCTATCTATCATCTATCATCTATCATCTATCTCTATCTATCATCTCTATCTATCTATCTATCTATCTATCATCTATCTATCTATCATCTATCTATCTATCTATCATCTCTATCTATCATCTCTATCTATCTATCTATCTATCTATCTATCTATCATCTATCTATCTATCTATCATCTATCTATCTATCATCATCTATCTATCTATCATCTATCTATCTATCTATCTATCTATCTATCTATCTATCTATCTATCTATCATCTATCTATCTATCTATCTATCATCTATCTATCTATCTATCTATCATCTATCTCTATCTATCATCTCTATCTATCTATCTATCTATCTATCTATCATCTATCTATCTATCTATCTATATCATCTATCTATCTATCTATCTATCTATCTATCTATCTATCTATCTATCTATCTATCTATCATCTATCTATATCATCTATCAAGGGTGCTGATAGCATGCAGGAAGACTGCCTTTATATTTCCCCCACTAGACCCTTTCCTCTTAACCAAGGGAGGGTTTGGCTAAAAAGAGCCCGGCTGGGGGTGGGGGTGTCATTCTCCCACTTGAGGTTGTTGTGTGTGCAAGAGGCTGCCCGTCCGACAGCTTTCCATTGTCAGTCGGTTGTGCCGTTGCTATGGCACAGCGAAGGGAAGGCGGCTTTGGGCTGAAAGCTGAAAACAAGGATTATGACAGAGGGGGTGGGGAGTGTATGGAAGAGAGAGTTTATGTGGCTGGTAGAATAAGGGACAATGAAACAGGAATCCTGTCACCCCTGACAGCCGAGGAGGGGTCTTTTCTTGAGAAGCTGGGAAGGAATGCCTCTCCCCCCCCAAAAAAAAGATGTTCACATCTAGAACTGCCTTATGCCAAGTCGGGCTAGCCCAGCAAACAGAGTTGAGACTAGAAGACGCCTGCTTTTATTTGCTTATTTCATTTAAAGCATTTCATGCGCCTTTAAGAAGGTTCTCAGGGGCTTCTGACGAACACAATGATACGCGGTTTGTTTGGCATCGAACATATAGGAAAAGAAAAGACAATGCAACAAAATGAAAATGAAAATGAAAATTTTCATGCAAGATAGAAATGTGAGCTGTTTCATTCACAACCCCTAGAAAAAATAATGGCTATTACTGGTGCTGGTGGATAGTAAAATTACAGTGGTACCTCGGGTTAAGTACTTAATTCGTTCCGGAGGCCCGTACTTAACCTGAAACTGTTCTTAACCTGAAGCACCACTTAGCTAATGGGGCCTCCTGCTGCCGCTGCGCCTCCAGAGCATGATTTCTGTTCTCATCCTGAAGCAAAGTTCTTAACCTGAAGCACTATTTCTGGGTTAGCAGAGTCTGTAACCTGAAGCGTATGTAACCTGAGGTACCACTGTATTTTAAATGTTTGTTTTAAATATCAGGGTATTGTCCTTGAGGTCTTAGGATAGTCTCACTTAAAGCTGAACAAGTAACTAAGATTTTTAAAAAGAAAAGGATTGAAGGCCTTGACAGAAATGGCGAAGGAGGGAAAACGGGTTCAGTGTCCTTTGAACACATAAAGTCTCAGGTTTAATTTCCAGCAGCACCTCACCAAGTAATAATAATAATAATAATAATAAATTTTATTTATATCCCGCCCTCCCCAGCCGAAGCCGGGCTCAGAGCAGCTAACAACAGTAAAACGATAAAACATTCTAAAATCATTTCATTATAAAATTAATTCCAATCAAATTAATGGCAACCATTGGGCTAGAAGTTCTGTGAGGATTGCCAAAGGCCTGGTGGGACAGCTCTGTCTTGCAGGCCCTGCGGAAAGATGTCAAGTCCCGTGGGGCCCTAGTCTCTTGCGACAGAGCGTTCCACCAGATCAGTAGGGCTGATCATGTCTCCTTTGAAAGCCTGCAGGAGAGCTTCTGCCAGTCAGAGAAGACAGCACTGGGGTAGATGGAGCGCTGCAATTTGACATGGTCCCTAGGAGAGGTCAGCCTAATGACTGGAGCAGACGCAGCGAGGCGTCAGTCTGAACGACTACCTGCAAGGATGTCACAGCAAGGATTTCATGAGAGACTAATTTTAGCTCTAAAGTATCTGGAAATAGGACACAAATTGGGGCAGGTCGCTCAGAGTGCTTATGAGTTAAACTAGCGGATGAGGACAGATACCCTTCTGAAGGTAGAAAGGATGCTTCTGTCTGGGGGTCTACAAATTTGGCCGGGCCATTGCGGCCAACCCCAGATTACTGGTCAGCAGGACACTGCCCCCTCTCCCCAAATATTTGGCAGCCTTGTTCCTGGTTACAGTCGTACCTTGGTTTCTGAACAGCTTAGTTCTCGAACGTTTTGGCTTCCGGACGCCGCAAACCCGGAAGTGAGTGTTCCGGTTTGCGAACTATTTTTGGAAGCCGAACACCTGACAGGGCTTCCGATTGGCTGCAGGAGCTTCCCATCATCCCTGACTGCTGGTCTTGTTAGCTAGGGATGATGGGAGTTGTAGTCCCAAAACAGCTGGAGGGCTGAGCTTGGGGATGCCTGAAATATTCCATCATCTGCCTCCCCAGTTTCAAACTCCTCTTTCTTTTGCACTCATTGCATTTGTGCCTGCGGTGGGGGCAGCGGGGGGCACATACAGCGATGACCAGAATTGTGGAGCCCTGTTAATGAAATCTGGGTCAGGTTTTCTGCCCCCAGGGGTGCCCTTTGACCACAGGAGTGTCTTCAACATCTATTTTCAGAGCTGGCCGGGTCCTCCTGCCTGGAGGAGACAATTCACAGATTACATGGCTTTTCCCTGAGCTTGGGTAAAGCACCCAGCTGCCAGCAGAGAAAGACTTTCTCCTCTGGTTCCCTGCTCTCTCCCAGTCCCTTTGCCACTAATCCAGCGCCCTTGCTCTCTGGGTTGGACGAGGCGACGGATTTCGGGAGGTGCCTGTCGCTCGCTTACATAAGAGCATTTCCTTGCTAAATCTGGACGGCTTTCTGCTTTCTCGGCGGTTATATAAAGGCATTGGGGGGGGCCGGGGTTGAGGAGACCCCTCCCTCTCCGTCAGAAAGCCCCTGAAGCCATCTCTGCGAATACCCACACTTCCACCCCCTTCGCCCCATGTGCCAACTTTCCTTGCATCATCTTCTGCCGCTGCCTTTCAACGGTTCGGCAAAGTCTGCTGAAATCTCCAAAGCCAGAGAAGGCTCACTGGAAAAGAAGCCCTAAATCAGGGGTCAGGTCCACTGTCCACTTTTTCAGCAGGTCCACTGTCCCTTAGACCTTGTGGGGGGCCAGACTATATTTTTTTTGGGGGGGGGGAAATGAACGAATTCCTATGCCCCACAAATAACCCAGAGCTGCATTTTAAATAAAAGCACATATTCTACTCATGTAAAAACACCAGGCAGGCCCCACAAATAACCCAGAGATGTGTTTTAAATAAAAGCACACATTCTACTGATGTAAAAACACGCTGATTCCTGGA